GTCCCTAACTCTCGGTCCTACTCTACCTATAGTTTTCGGCCTAACCTACTGGACCGAAACTACTACCGGTACCGTTGCCCTAAGGGCCTACCCGGACTCTACAGCAGTCCTACAGCACTTAGGGCGCAGTACCCCTTAGGGCCTGCAAACACTCAAACGCTACCGCTGTTAATTCTATTCTATTTTTAGAACAGCGGACAGCCCTCAGTGCGACCACAGAAAAACACAGCAATCACACAGTAACAAACACGCCGCAAACTCAGCAGGCAAAACCACACCGTAGTGTACAACCCCGCAGACAGATACGGCAGCGAACAGCAAGTCATTACAGCACTGTGCTGTCGTGGCAGACTGCTGACATGGCACTGTTGTTGACGTGGCACTTACCAAGCCAATGAGATCAAGACGAAGGGAGGAAGGGAGGGAGAAGGGCAGACAGGCAACTACGTACCCCAAAACTGCACTCACCCCCTCTTAGAAAGACACGTACTCAAAAGAAAAATTTCCGCCCAAAGTAAAGAGACTACAAGAAACGGATTAAAAGGTACAAAATTTTGAGATTTCAAACAAGGCGCGAAATGCTGTATTTCTCAGAACTGAATTTCTGAACTTCTCACAGAACAGAATTACGAAAATTTGTGGGAAAGAAAACAGAAGAATGCAAAAATTTCCTCACAAATAAAGAAACTAGTAGGAATGAGCCCTCGCAGGGCCCTTAACAGACATGCATATGGTCTGGGCCGAGGCCCTCAGAATGCCCCACGCCCGCCCTAAGTGAAGGCGGGCCTGAATATTCACAAGAGGCCAATATTTGACATTTTTCATAAGTGGGTACTCAGACAGTTAGTTACACGCCAGTTGGTTACTTGGACGCATGCCTGGGCCAGGCAGTTGTGCCTGGACTCCACATTTCAAGGTACGTGCGCCGGGGGCCTAGGCAGATACAGCAAACGGCCCGAGTCTGGGTGTGCCCAACAGAAAAAGGCCCAGGGCCTGGGCGCAGACGCTGGGGCCTGACCGGAAGCTACAGGAAGCTTCCCAGCCAGGCCACACGCAGCCAGACACGGGCTGCCACTTCCATATAGGAAGAGTGGCAGCCAGGGTCGGGCATTCTGGCCCATGCAGGCAATGCGGTCACGCTGCTGCACTGCTGCGTTAGAAGCTGCGTGCTGCGTTGAGCCCAGGGCGCATACGGGCGCTACAGAGGTGAGAGGGGCGCTGCTGGGCAGCGGAGCGCTGGCAGCCATAGCCGGGCTGCTGGGCGCTAGTGGATAGGCGGACGATCGGTGGTCTTCATGAAGGAGGCGATTGTGTGGGGGTCAGGGTCTGATGAGGGGAGACGAGATGCGTACCTGGTGCATGAAGGAGGTTGGCTATGGTGTTGACTTCATGTACATTGGTCTTCAAAGTCGAAGTCAGCCTGTTGCGTGAATGTAGATGTGGTAGGATAGGCAAGTAGTGTAGGCTAGGCGCTGGGGCGCCAGACACTGCAGACAGAGAGGAGCCACATTGGATACTGTGTTGGTGTGGCCTGAGAGCTTGAACATTGGCTCATGAGTTCATTGTATTGCTCGTACTGGATGGAATCTCGGTGCATTTGTGCTTTCTACTTGTACACGGCTACTTACATCTTTGTGATTTCGCAACTTGGCTTTCTGTATATTGTTCCCACTCATATTCTTGCAATTTGGTATCAGAGCTGGTTCCTGATCGCCGCTTACCGGCGCCAGCGACATTGTTACTTGGTGCGCTGACGATGCTTCTCTGCAGCGAGGGTCCTTTGGCGCTGGCTTGATGAGCGGGACCCGGGTAGAGGGGTCGCTGCTGGAAGGCTGTGGCGACAGCGTGGGAGCTGTGGCGACAACGGATGTATGTACGATGATGAGAGCATGCTAATGTGGCATTTTGGCTGAGGTGGCACTGCATCGCGTTGTGGGTGGTACCGAAGCTACGACCGGTGTCGGAAGGCGATGCGACGCAGCCACGGAAGTTGACTCGTTGCGGTCAACCTCCGCGCTGCGTCAGATCTGCGCCAGGGATTGTCCACCGTCATAGTCAACTAGGCCCTACCGTGTCGGTTAAAATTCCCCAAGGCCGAATTCGCGGAAAAGGCGGCACGGCGGTACGGTCCTCCAGAGGCCTGATCGTCTCCGTTGGACTGGACCGTTGCGACCGCAAGGGGCTAATTACTAGGGTCCGGCCCAAACGGCACTTGAAACGGACCAAGGATTAGTGAGATAATCAAGTTTGACCGGTTGGGACCGGACTGACGCGGCCGCATAACTCGGTCGGAAGAGGAATAGCCCCGAAACCGTTCACGTAAATGAATAACCCGGCCCTAGTAATAATTAAGATAGGGTCACGTGCTATTTTAGGCACGGGACTGACTGTTCGTTTTCCAAAGTCGGGCCTGCACCAGTCCCGTGCTAAAATTAGCACAGTCCCACGCTATTTTTAGCGTGGGACTGACTGTTCGTCTACCGGGGACTGGGCCTGCGCCAGTCCCGTGCTAAAATTAGCACAGTCCCACGCTATTTTTAGCGTGGGACTGACTGTTCGTCTACCGGGGACTGGGCCTGCACCAGTCCCGTGCTAAAATTAGCACAGTCCCACGCTATTTTTAGCATGAGACTGACTGTTCGTCTACCGGGGACTGGGCCTGCGCCAGTCCCATGCTAAAATTAGCGCAGTCCCATGCTATTTTTAGCGTGGGACTGACTGTTCGGTTACGTAGGACTGATTGTTCGATTACCTGGGACTGACTGTTCGTCTACCAGGGACTGGGCCTGCGCCAGTCCCGTGCTAAAATTAGCACAGTCCCACGCTATTTTTAGCGTGGGACTGACTGTTCGGCTACCTAGGACTGGCTGTTCATATCCTAAGATCGGGACTGGTGCTAAATTTAGCTCAGACCTGGGCTATTTTTAGCCCC